TATAAATAAAGACTGGTTCCTAAGCATGGTAAATTTTCAAATACCTCGTCGTCGCTCAGGTCCATACTTTCTAAATACTTCTCGGCCACCTCCAAAAGAGCATCCTGGGGCCACTCGCTGAACCAGTCGATCGTGGTACAGTTTACAAAAGCTGGGTACATCCGAATACGGTTTCTGAAAATTAACATTGAAGCCTGGCTATGAGAGTGCAAGTAAACGTAAGTGTAATTTTTCTCTCGAGATGTTGGTTAAATGAGATCACTGCACCAGTGTTGACGCCTGATTACGCCTGCTAGAAAACTTGTTCGGCGTTTGTTTGTTTGTTTGTCTGTTTTTTTGCTACGAGTAAATGACTGTTTCTTTTCTCTATGCGGTAACCCTACAAATGCACACATGAGGTAAAAATTGCGAGGGTTGCAAGAAACCATATCACGAATTTTTTAATCATTTCATTTGACGCCAAAGATTCCCCTATAATCAAACGAAATCAAGCGACCACATTTTGCATGGGTGAGCGAACATTTAAGTGGTAAAATGATGAAAAAAAAAAAGGAAAGATTAAAGGGAAGTATGGAAAACCGACAAAGAAAAAGTGCCAAAAAGATAGGCGGAAAGTGAGCGGGAAATCGAGCAAAAAGTGCAGAAAATGTGCTTGACTTTTTTGAACACGTACGAGCCGGAAAAGGCGCCATATTGAAGGAGCTTCGTCGTAATACATGTACCAGGTCGGTCACATAACAAAAAACAAACAAACAAACAAACACATAAAAAAGGACTAACAGCCCAAAACGGAACAAGGATGGCAGAGAGTGGAGAAGTTCAAAACGGGTTTCAATAAAGAAAAGTGCTAATTAGTTCTCTAAACGTGATCGTCCTAATTACACTAAAAACAACACCATGACCATAGAAAAGTACATGTCATTTATACCAGCGTACCTGAATATATCACCTACTGGACTCATGCACAGAATGATATGTAGATTACTTCGGACTCGCTCAATAAAGTAGTTAAACATTGTTTCTGGCATGTCGAGGATACCCTCTTTACGAGCGTCTTCTGATAAAGCAGTGCGAACCTGTAAGGACATCACAACATTGTCACCGTTACTTAATATAACTTATAATTTATAAATAATATATAATTATATAATTTATAAAGCAGTGCGAACCTGTAAGGACATCACAACATTGTCATCGTTACTTAATATAATTTATAATTTATAAATAATATATAATTATATAATTTATAAAGCAGTGCGAACCTGTAAGGACATCACAACATTGTCATCGTTACTTAGTCAAAAATTATTCGCCGAAGTGAATATGGTTGAAAAATTCCTGGGACGAAATTATTACATCATTGTTTTGATTACTAGTACGGAGATAAGCAGCTAGTTCCCACTAGAATTATCAAGTTTATTCATTCGATTTAAGCAGCAAAAATTTCATGTATTACAGTACTTTTGAAAATAGTTACGCCAAACTTATTAGCATCTTTTGTTCTCTTCGGAATTGAAATTTCTTCTATGATCGCCTTAATCACTTCCACGGCACCACTGACAAAACGCGAGGCAGCCATTTTGAAAATCAGCGCCCCTGAATGCTCTTAACACCTCGTGCAAGGGTGATTATAGCGTGATATAACGCAATGTCCTGGACCAATAAGAGCGTTACAATCCCCATAATCATTTGAGCAATCGTACTAATACTTTAAGTGCGGAGTTTTTGCGTTTGGTTCTCCCTGAGTGTGTCATGCAGGTCGACAATAAGTTTTAGAAAGCTACCTTTGATAGGAAACCTTTCTTTTTCCGAATACGAGATACTAGCCATATTGGTACGAAAGCGAGACTCAAGCGAAGAAAACAAAACAAATTCCTTCAATTCGCTGCCGAGTCTAAGGTACAACATTTCATTTCTTGCTTCTTCGAAGAAAACAAAACTGAAACGAGACTTTTTATAGTGAAATAACCTAAAACGTTGGCTAAAAGACCTAACAAGCGAGCGAACTGGTCGTTAGCGATATGACTCGTGGGTGAAGCAAACGCAGCAAATTCCTGACTGCAACTAAGCTTCTAACGTGTCATGAACGCAGCAGATCATAAAACAGCTTCACGACCACAAATCAAATCGAAAAGTGACCAGAAAAGCCACTCATGAGGCACAGGAAGAAGGGTTCTGTTGGAATGAAACCAAATGAACGCAAGTCACGCTAACCTCTTCAAACTCCTCAGGTTTGTACAGATTTGGTACTTCACCTCTGCTGAGGATGTTACTGATGTCTTCAAGGAAAGATTCTTCCAGCGCTTGCGTGTCATTGAACAAGAATACCGTAGGTTTGTTGTCCACACCAGTGAGGTAATACAGACGCTTCAAATCTAAGGTATCAAGACATCTTGTTAAAGAAGCTCGCTATGAAGCGCCATAAAACCCAAACCAAAGTAACAGCGAGTTACTATCGCAATTTATCTCATAGCCCTATAGACGGAAACGAGTGAGGGATATACCACATCTGGTTTTACCTTTGCATCTAGTTGGATTAGTGTATGGCCAGCAGGAGTTCTCTAATCGATCAATTTGCCAGAACCAAAGCAATCACAGATTACGCTAAAAACCACATTCAGAATTTCCTTATCTCTGAATTTAAACTCACCCTCCCTGAACTCGACCTTTCTGTAGTGCTTTGTGACTTCTATCTGGAACACCTTGAAGCCGATGATGTAGGCCGACAGACGACCGAGACTCTGCCGCCCACTGCCTCCGATTCCAATCAGTAGCATGTTGCCACGAGGCTGGGCAATCACACGGATTATACGGGTCACTGTGCCAAGAGAAATGAGTAACTCAGGTCAACATTCATTCTTGAGTAAAAGTCGGCATTCAAGATTGACTTGTATAGCTGCACAGACCCATTCAGGTGCCTGTATTTGAAGCTACTTAGAGTATTGCTTCTCCCCCTGAATGGGATGCAAGTCTGTAGCACACTCCCCCGGCATTTAGTCAATCTAAGAGTATTGCTACTTCTCCTCGACGGGATGCTAGTCATAAAATTTCCCCCCTTCCCACGTATTACGTCGGACTTATGGCATTGCCACTACCTCTGGATGGGTGGTTAGTCCGTAGCATGCCCCTTCCCCCGGCATCTCGTCAGACTAAAAGTATTACAACTCCCCTAAATGGGATACCATTCCATAAAATGCGCCCCTCCCCTCCCCCCCCCCCCGTCAGTTCATCAGGTTTCCTTAACAATTCACTGAGTTCGATTATACGTCAGAGCCCTGCTGTTCAAAGGGTGGAAAACGCTATCCAACGGATAACTCGCTATCCAGCGGATAAGTGTTAACAAAACGTACTACACTATCCATCAATCCTGGTTGTCGAGAGGCAATTTGAGAGTACAGTGTATGACCGAAGAGCACAAAACAATCCTCAAACATGGCCATTATGTTCTTAAATCTTTCACTTTCTCTCTTGTGAACTAGTTCTTTCACTTAAACTGTATTGGTGATGAGGACACTACAAAGTTATACCATCAAAACCTCTGGATAAAAAAAAATGGCGAATTATCTTACCATGTTCAATAGCGTCCCTAAAGAGCACAAGATCCATGGAAATCACCCCTGGTTCCATGTTGTAATCCTCCAACTGATCTTCCATGTATTTCTTGAGCACCTTGAAGTCCATCATGTCTTCATACACAGCGCCGTCTTTCATGAAGTCACCTGTGGAATGCAATATCCACACAATATCTTAGACGCAAATATGTAGTTTTTCGAGAGGCAGGTTTCAATAAGATCACAACATAAATCGATAATTGAGTTGCTTACATTTTGTTACGCTGTCTGGCATAAAAGTTCAAGTCTATGACCAGCCAATGATTATAAAAAAAATATGAATTCATTAATTTATTTGCGATATTGAGACAGGGATGGCCCAGTTTAGCTTGAAAACTAGTTTAAATGAGGGCCTGTATAAACAATAACAAGGCCAGACTACAACACCGGGGAGCTACGTTCCTTACACTACAGACACTTACCAAAGATTGGTGGTTGTTTGTTGGGGCAGAGGTTGTGGAAAGTCAGGTCGAACATCGTTCCAAGCTTATCACTTAAAAGTGTCACAAAGGCTTCGTGGTCCCCTGCATCAACGAGACGATCAGAGAATACTCTGGAAAAAAAGGTGATCATCGTAAGATGACTAAAAAATTATCTGAATGCACATCGAATATGCTGTGTTTTCTTCACTATTTTATTGTATGGATCAAGTAACGACAAAATTTTAAAAAGGAGAACAAAACGGCTCTGTTGTCAAACTGAAAAAACATCCTTGGAGATTCTGTTTTTTTTTTTTTTTTAATTTTGCGACGCAAGTCTTGAAATTCTACAAATGACAGAAATCATGTTGAATTCTGTCTACTCCCAACTTTGCATCTTAAACAGTGAAATAGAACAACTGATCAGAGTGGCGTCTCAAATACCATGAACATTGTGATGGAGTGTGGCAACACAATTTAAAGCTAGTAAGAGCTTGCGCAAGTCATCCCTTCGTGCGATCATTTTATGATTGAACCAAACGTTTTTTCACCTGAAGCACTCGTGAACCCAGAGTCTGGACATTGCTGTCTTGGTGTCATGGAAGTCTTTGTTAGCGCGGAGTAAGCCTTGAAAAACCTTTAGTAGAGGAAGGAAAAAATATCACGTAAGTGTGCAAGATAACGCATTTTAAAGGAAACGAAACGAAAACAAAGTTCAAGAGAAAATTGAGCTTGAGATGATAAACACAGCGGTCGAACATCAACGTTTTCAGAACATTTCCAAATTCCTTCAAAAGTTTCCTTGTTCTTGTATAAGTTTTCTTGTTGAATAGGTTTCTTATTGCATGCGTTAAAACTGCCTCTAACATTCGAACAGTTTTGGCTTGCGTCATAATAAAACGATTAGTGCTCGCGCTTATGACGTCAGAAAATTCAAATAAGAGAAGCCCGCGTGGATTAAGCACAGCGGTCAAACGTCTGCACATGCGGGAACGTTGTAGTGACGAAGTGTCGTGCTTTCAGCCTGTCAGAACGAATTCATCTCACACAAGATACAAAAAACCTCGCAAACCAGTATGTCACGGTTTTTTTTTGGTAAAGTTTAAAACAGAACGGTAACTCAACAGGATACCCGTGCTTGAACAAGTTTGTGCCCTCAAAGTCTTGAGTTTTCCTTTTCCCTACTTTAGTTTCTTTGAAAATGTAACCTTCGTCTGATGACAAATTCTCGTAATTTACATAAAAAGAAATGTATCGAGTGGAGAGAGTTAGCAACCACATCTTGAGAGTTAAAGGGTTAGAAAAGATTCTACGATCGACTCAATTTTCTTTCGCTTATTTTGTTTATTATGTTCTCCTTAGTTTTTTTACGAGGAAAATGGGCGCACGGGCAGCCAAAACCAATCCCTTCGGGCATGCCCGACGTTTGACCGTTCTGTTGAGAAGGTATTTCATAGTTTCCAGACTTTTTAAGATTAACTGGTAAATACCCTAGAAATGTCTCTCAGGTTAAAAAGGTAATGTATCTTGGTAGGGGTTGGAAGCATTCTGGCGACGATAGCGTTGTAGATATCAATAGTTGCCTGAAAAATAAAACACACAAATGTTACGAATGTCAGTAATTTTGGCATTGGAAACATGAAAACCCAGTGATAAAATGAAATACAGGCCGAAGTCAATCACCTGGGTCATTACATCACCAAGAGCCTTAACGTCTTCTTCAAAGTCCTGCAGCTTCTGGTTGATCATGGTGCCAAAAATACGCTTGATTTGACTTTCCTGAAAATAACAAATGATAAGACGATGACAAACTGAACTTTTAAGAAAATAATTCTGATACAAATCTTGTAACCCTGTCTGGCACAGTAAAATATTGCCAGACAACATCTCTGAGATCAAATAAAGGAAGAAATTTTTTCAACTGAAACAAACTTCTGGATTAAGCGAGCCGTACAATGAAATATGGCCCGCTAAACTGACCACTTACGGCGCACGTACTAGCTGCGATATAATAATCCCTGTTATTTACCTGAGGGAAAGTCATGTTGATTAGGTTAAACCTGCTCTGCAGTCTCTTAGAGATCACCATCCTGCCACCACCCGGAGGACCCATAGAAGCCAACAAATGCATGCCCTGTTGAACAAAAATGGAGGACGCCATGTCAACGAGCTATAACGGTAAACAAGTGAAGCTTTTTAGCGAGCACATCTCGATTGAGGTCGGTCTCATTACCAAAACCAAAACCAAAGCAAACACGGCGGCCCCTTCAAAACCAATGTAGTATTCATAAGGTTCTAATAAAAGGTTAAAGATCCTTTAGTTATATAGCTCCATATCTGCGGAATCAGCCTCCGGACGTCATACGGCAAGCACCATCGCTAGTGACATTTAAATCCAACCTGAAGACTCATTTATTTGATTAAGTCTTTAATTAGTCATTAGGTTTTTGCTTAATACTTTTAGTAAGTTCTTTTAGTCATCTTTATCTTATTTTCGGTTAGCTCTATCCATCGAGCTAACCGCCTCCCGGTTAGCTCAATGGATAGAGCGCTGGACTGTTGTGCGGGAGGTCGAGGGTTCGAGCCCCGGCCGGACCAACACTCAGGGTCTTAAAATAATTGAGAAGAAT